CTGTTTTATATATATATTCCACTTATTAATCTATTGACTCATTCGGTTCTTTACCAATTATCCTATTTTACAATCGGACATTGCTTTCAAATAATGCCATGCTAATCATTCATTCTTTTTCTTTCAACAGCAGTCCTTGCCGTTTTTGCCCTTCATATCACCAATTTTTACAATATGTTCTAGGATGCAATTGACCAGGTGTTTCATTGTGGTACAAATAGGTGAACAGCCTACAGTTACATAAGGAAGGTCACCACAATTGTTTTGAATAGCTTTTGAATTGACAGTTGCTTCCTTTATTGCGTCACCTGTGACAGTTCGGTCCGGCTGGTGTACTGATGTCTCACGAAATCTTTCATGTTTGACACATGTCACCACTCAAATACGTTTCGTGTTGCAAAACACTTAAATCTATATTCAATACCATTCCTAAGTATGCAAAAACTTTACTTCTTCAATACAACTTTTTTTTGCTACGTTACTCTGTCTTATTTATTTCATGTTCATTACACATTAGCTTTACCAAAAGGAAAAGACAATTTTCTCTGTAGACTTCAAGCAAATAGGCACCAAACACCTGTGTTTTCTCACCAGATAGAACAGAATCAAAACGGTTATCTTTGGTGTTATATTTCATGAACATTTTCACAATGAGTCGTTTTAAGCTGTAGAAACCAGCGTGTGCCAATTTGCTATGGTAATGTGCATTGTTATCATACCTTCTATATAATAAAGTTGTATCTTTGCATAGGTGCCCTGTCATCTTATACATTGTTAAAGGGTCTGGCGCCGGTCGGACGGTCTCCTCAACGGCCTCTTTGACCCGATAACACGGCTGCCTATGTGTAAAACGTAAATGTCTTTGTAACGTATGTAATTACTCACGGTAATTCGTTTGGTGTTATTATCATGTTTTATGTCTACAAATTCAGCCAGTTTCAACTCATTTATTTCTCTGATATATTCTATATACCAGGCTCCTTTTGAGATAATGTAGAAAAAAATATTTGGTAGAACCCTATGTTTAGTGATTGCTTCATATTCAGTCGTTTCCTTCGCTCACGAGTTGATAGAGATTCTTAATATATGAGTAATTGTTCAAATGTGTTTTTCAATTTGAGTATTCGCATTTCAAAATCATCAAAGGCAAGGAAAAATACATCCGGCACAGTCGTATGCCATTGGGAAAATGTTAATGGATTCCTATATATCACTCCAACTACTTTTCTTATGTCATTTTTTAAGTCGACCGTCGATATTTCTTTTAGGTTGATATCAAAAACATACTACAGCAAACGCAAAAATTTTTTAATCTCAATCCAGAAAAGTGTTGGAAAATGTTAACATATGTCAAAATCAATGACTTGCGTTGGGATTGTTGGCATTAATTGCGAAGCATCGTCAGGAAACAAGCTCATTACATGTTCCCTTTGATGATATGTGTTTATTGGTTCAGGCAGTTTAAAACGTGTGTACTTCTATACAATATCACCATAAAATGATGTCATGCAATCATATCGAACTTTAAATAGACCAGTATAAAACAAATACAGAGTGCAGTTAGTTCTATATTCTATCTCTTATTCAGCCAGGTTCTTGTTGTGACTGTAGTAAAAAACTGGCAGGGACATGAAATGAGAGACCATTCCCTTAATTATGGGCATTAGATTAGATTATACCCACAGCAAGGTTTCATTTTACGTCTTGGTAAACATTTATTTTTGGTATTTTTTTTCACGCTCTACTTTTCAACAGGAAAGGATAAGTATACAGGACATGTAAAACTAGATACAGATATGAGGTCCAGTTTCATTTACTGTTGCCTTTAGATAAAGGCATTATGTAGATACTCCTCGTTTGCCCCCCGTGGACCGTTTGTGAATGTGGATTCTTTGCACATATATGATATCGTGTTACACACACCAAGACACGGGTTTTTTATGTTGACTTGTAATTTTTTTCATTTTCTTCTGTAAAAAGTTTGCAAGGACATTTACATTGAATCAGTCTTGCTTTTTATTTTATGTCACTTTCGTAAAACGCCTAGATTGTGTACAAAATTGATTCTTTTCGTACTTTTCCACAACACTTTTTTTTTTGAAAATCAGATATGCAGAAGGACCGAAAACAATTTTGAGATATTTGATGAAATGTGTAAGGAGCTGTCTTTTGTGATCTTGATTTGATCTTGCTTTTGTATAGCACGTTACTTTTAAAGACAAATGAGATTATTTCGTAAGAGACAAAGGATTCATATATCTGTGTTATATAACCTGTAAAGCAAAATGCTTGTTTTGATTTTGTCTGAGCAAAATAATTGGACTGAAACATTTTGTTTGTACTTATAGACCAAGTAGCTTCAAGGGCGGATGATTGTACAATGTTAAGACTTGTTGTACCTGCCTTGATTCTCATGGGTATTTGAAGGCCATAATGGCATGAAACGTACGTGTTCTGTTTAACAGGTAGCAATGACATTGGTACAGCTTCTGTGAGTGAGTCTGTATGCAAAAATTTGTCATTTTTATACCAAATCTTTGAACACATTTTGAAGGCAACTTCTCCAGTATAATTTACGTATACACTATATCCATTTTTGACCATGGATACCTCTTTGGTTGTTCAAAGTCATAGGTTAGAAACCACATACCATATTGTGTCCAAGATCGAGGTTTGTCGTGCATGTCCAAAATAGAAAATGCACGATACTGCATATGTCTAGCATATCCTTCCAAAGCAAACAGACAATCAAAATAGTGGAGATTTGGCATTGTCCCGGCGCCATAAAACCAAAGATGTATGGGCCAGTCTCTATGTAATGATTTTAAATAAACGACTACATGAATCAGGAACAATGGAGCCGTATATTCTATCCATACCGATAAGGCGTGTAGGGAAATGAACATGGGCCTTATCTTGTAATCCAAGGCAGCCAGGCGGGCGTACCAGGTGGTGGGGAGAACACACAAAATGGAAATATCTACCAAATTGTCACCATGTTTATGGAACCAAATGGAGACAGAGTGACGGCCATACACGCATCCCCGCGGCCACCATGTCCTCAGAATATACCACATATGATGTATATCCCGAAAAAGGAATGTTTTTTCTTTTATGTGCGTTGTTTGATATCGAAGTGGCCATTTAAAGCAGTGCTGGCGTCTACATATTTAAATCGATCATTTCGTAAATTTCGAATTAATTCAATGCATTTTTGGTATACACTTGCGTCTTCATCTTTGGCAGTTTTCCGTTTCCCCATTAGTGAGCGAAGCACCATCTAAAGAATTGACAAAACAAACCTCTACAAAATCTTATGTCCTGGCTCCATTATCTCAAAACCGATGCAATAGTTTCATTTTTGTTGGAAAATTGTTGTCTGAAACTCAAGAAAGAGTTATGTTGGAAAGAACGTTGGTCCAAATCTGGAACTGTGATTCATTTTCATCATGCCGGACAGAATACTTAGTGGGGGGAAATTCTTGTAACCCATCCCTTTCAAACAAAAAACGACCGAAGAAACTGATAGACGATAGTAATTTATCCATATCTTTTTTATTTCTAATATATCCAATGGATTTCACATGGTAGGCACATACATCTTGTAACTGAATTTAAAATGTATTTTTCATTAAACAAAATCGTGAGCAAACATTTTGAAAAGGCAACGAATACTGTTGTATTACTTACAGATATAGGTTATTTTATCCTAGATATTGAACACATCATAACAATTGTAAACTTACATTCGAGACATTCAAGCTGTGATAGGTAGAAAAATATTCAGAATAATTCTATTAGGCATACTATTCTTTAAGATATTTTTTGTATTTTATTTATTAAATTAATTATTAAATATGTTTTTCGAGAAGTAGTTGATCTCTATATACGGGGATATATCAGAGACAAATTATTAATTTTATCATGTCTGAATTTGTCGCCTGGGATGCATGCTTAAGAGTAAATACGTATATATGCAAAATATTCAGTTTTGTATTTAAAACTATCATGTAAGAGGTAGTTCGGAAATAACACAAGCTCACATTACATTAAATTAAGTCGTTTTGGCAATGTCAGGTGATGGTTTTCTCACCAACTGACATCAAAAGGCTACAAATCCGACTTGTCAGCCTTCTCAAATATATTAAACATTGCAACATAGATATACCATTGTTTAAAATATTAATATATTGAATATTGACACTTATGGCATACGATAAAATGCGTTTCAAACACACTGCTTCTAACTCAGCAAACTCATAACATTAACGAACCTGCCATTATAATTGCCATTGATAACCTGTAATATCACTCTACACTAAAAAATTTTGTTTAAGACACGAAGCCCAGGCCATCTTAAAACAAATACATTGATACTAAACAGGATTTGGCAAATGGACCGACTTTGTTGAATGGACCTATCTTTGAAATTCCGATTTAATAATAAATAACAACAAATAACAATTGGTTGGGCTAATCTTTATATCGTAATTATTAATTGAATAACGGCTAAATCGACCTTTCTGGAATATGTAGAAGTCTGCAAATGTCAAGAACTACATAGCTTTCAAACTAAATCAATCGTTTACGATAAATTATAGTAACAAGTATAATGATGTCTTGTCAACTGCACTCGAGATAAGGCGTTGCCATTCAAAATAAAAGATCGACGCACATCACACTAATTCCTCTTAACACGGCATATCTGGATAATCCAACCATCACTTAATTCATCTTTCAAATGAATTAACCCTGAATCAAGAATGCAACTAATACAGTATTAACCTTTGAAGTTAAATAGTTAATCTGGAATTTAACCACCAGTGAGTATTTCATTAATACCACATATCCATATAGAAGTATGTATTCAGGTTTACTGGCATTAAGTAGTGCATTGTACAGCACTGTTGTCAAAACTAGAGAAAGATGGATAATAAGAACGCTTCTTCCTGCATATACACCAATTTTGATTTTTTCCTGATAGCCCGTAGGACTCTTCTGACGAGTCAATCTATTCACGAATGGTCTAGCCGGCTGGATTTAAGTACAGGGATTTGTCCGGACATTTCCCTCTGTGAATATGCTAGAAGTGTCCTAGAAGCACCAGTCTGTAAGTCACGTGCGGCGTTCGGTCAAGAATCAAAGTCTTTATGGCAACTCACTAGCTCTTGTCCTTTGAGTCGCAATCTTTGTCACTGTTAGTGTCACTGTCGATGGGAGAGTCAGACTTATTTTGAGAGGCGTCTCCTTTGTTTTTAGTGTTTGGAAGTTTGTGTTCCTTTTTCCATTTCATTCTCCTATTTTGGAACCAAATTTTGATTTGTCTTTCTGTTAGACACAAGGAATGTGCTATTTCGATTCGTCTCCTTCTCGTGAGATATCTGTTGAAGTGGAATTCTTTTTCCAGTTCCAGAATCTGGTGACGAGTGTAGGCGGTCCGACTTCGCTTGGGTTCCAACCCGTTGTAACCGTTGGCTGCAAAGAAAGGATAGTGACCTTTTTTTAAATAAGGGATAGTTCACCCCTTCTGTTTCAAATTGGCATGTTGTAGAAAAATGTAAAGTAATTTTAAATATATAAATGAGTTTACATAAACTTGTATGTGACAATTAAACAAAATACTTTAAGTCCTCTATCTCGAGTCTTATTTTAAATTTTTTTTCATCTTTTTTCACAAACAAAATGAAAAGACTTATCTATGTTAATATGCAGGAAAAGGACACCATCGATACCATCGACAAGCCAACATTAAAAAACTAAATGTACAAAGGCCAAACACGTGTTTACTATATGACCAGGTATAAATTACAATTTCGTTGGTGTACTGACAAAAATCCATTGTAAAGCGATATCAGACCATTTAATGTGGTATCCATTTTAATGTCATTGAAAACCGAAACTGCGCAAGTTAGCAAGGATGTGAAAATGTAACGGATTCATATACTATTCATTCCTTAGACAGGTGTCAAACCAGGGACGAGATAGACATTTCACCTTAAAGAATATCTTAATTTTATTCCCATTAGGGAGCATAGCTTGAAAGATTATCCACTGCGTTTCTCCTTTGCGATTTCTGCTTAATTCTATACATTATATTCGTTTGATTTACATGTTATTATTTACTTTTCTTACTTTGCGCATTACCTAGACATACCCACTATTGTTTCATATCTAAATGCACAGTTTTGCAGCATCGCAGCTTATTACAACAAATCAATATTTCACCAAGAGCCAAAGGCAACGTTATAAGGGCTGTCAATGCCTGTCCCCGGAGATATTGTGTCGTGAGAAATTTTTTTTCTGAACACCCGACGTCAAAAGTCCGTATGTCTAAGCAAGCCTGACGGCGTTCAATTGTTTCCTCAGCACGCAATCTTCGAAACCACCCCTATCATGTGGGGACCTCAAATACCATTAAATCTACGAGGCTAGGAAACTCAGATGTCAGATCTTATCGAAGGAATTCTGCCAGGTGTATCGGAAGGTCACAAACGAGCGTGATTACCACTATTAATAAAACGCCCGAACCTCTTTTTTTTTTGTGGACGACAGCCATTATGTTTCAGCTAAAACAGTTAATACTGTCACTCGCAAGTGTGCATCAAGAAATGAATAATGACGTACAAACATGTAGAGTTGAAAAAAAAAGAAAAGGCAATCAATGTTAGGCAGGTGCCATTGCATATACAGCTTTCGTAACAATGGGATTTTTATTTGCTCCTCGGCATTTTGACAAAAAGGCCCCAAACTATATGTTAGTTATGATGACAGTAAACTGTACTAAGGAAACGAAATCTAATGGTACACAGACATTGTTATTTAGTGTCACAATATCTTAAAATTAAGTGCCACATCAAAAGTTACTTTCATTACCCACAAAAAATGAAACAAAGGAGAAACAAAATGCTTGGAATTAATAGAAGATAAACTGTAGCAATAACCCGCTTTGATCAGGCGCGCGTACAGGAAGCACGAGACAAGGGTTTTTAACACCATTCAAATCGGATAAAAAACACATCAGTAAACATTAAATGAACTCGCATTTTCTACGGTCTATTAATCGCCGATAGACAAGCGTGTGAGAGTAGTGCCCTCATATATCCGGAATAAGACGCGTATTTAATAATGTCACATTACGGGCGTCATAATCACCGACACAAGTCCTATTAGTTTCGGATTAAATAAAAATGAAAGTGTGATGCTTGATTAGCGGCCTCTGAGGAATCAGTTTATGTTTGAGATGAACATTTGTCTTTTATATCAGGCTGTTTACAGTAGTTCGTTTATGTCTAGCTATACATTGGGGATAGGGCTTTCCCTAGGAATCTAAAGAGAAACATATTGACAAGACAAAAGGGTCGGTTTGATAATTAAACTAAAAAAGCTTGGATAATGAAGAGTGTTTAATCTCTTAGCTGAAATGTATACTTTAAGAGCATTGGTGACCACCAGAATGTTCGAATACAAAAACTGTTCATCGTATCCGATTTTGATACTTTTGTGCCTTTTTTTCAAACACGTTACAAATCACGGTAAAATGCCTTCGAACATTTAAACAAAAACCAGAAAAAATTATCTGGAGAAAGCATTAAGAAACATTGGAAGAATGGAACTGAGTTTGGCTGACATTATTCCTAACATGCAAAAAAATGTCCATACTCAGATTAAACGTCCAAACGTTTTACCCTACTGTACTGCATAATATGAGGGCACATGTTCAAATTAAATATAACCTAAATCTATTTGGCACCAAATTTTCATTTTATTAAATCCAAAATAGTCAAAATTAACTCAGCAGTTACCTGCAATGAAAGTGTCATGGGATGAGAGGAAGTCTAAATGAGAACATTGCATGCCCAATAACAAATAGCAACCATCTATGTTCTAATTTAGTCGTCTCCACGAATACAATTTCATTGTTCATAAGTTGGGTTTAACGGTTGTACCACAAGCACTTAACGAAGGCGATTCCATATGAATTGATGCCTTTAACACACAACACTAAAATCGAATTGGTCTTCATCTCTACGATTGAAAAACGTTCAGGTTTTATGATTTTAAGAAATGATGTAAGTATACGCGCCAATGGTCTGTAAGATAAAAGTAGAATAGCGGAAGTTATTTTCTGTTGATTCTTTAATCATATTATATTTCATTAATGGGTCTGAGGAAAACGCTTTGATAAATGGAAGTTTTCTTCATAGAAATAACTACCATTCCTACAAGTTCAACAGACCATACCTACTAATTAAAAGTATCTAATTATAAATTATCCATACTTATAATACCAGATATAAATCTGGGAATAACACACTTTGGTGTTTGCCTTTAAAGATTCAATCTTTCCATCTGTTAGTGACCCCGGTTAACTATAATATATTTTTTATCTGATGTCGTCATTTTCTCATTGTTTTTATCCAAACATAAAATTCTAGTGATAATGTTTAAAAAGTAGCATGATAATTTTATCACCCTAGGGTTGGCTTTCGCGGACGTTTCTTTGATCTAATGTCCACCCAAGAAAATATATATCGTAAATCTCAACGTTCTACATTTCTTAGGCGCTTTCCAAGAGCGAGTAGGATGGAATAAGCAAATAAACGAAGCATGCACTTTGCGGTGCAATTACCAGATGCAAATGGAGATTCGTGAGGGAGGTAGAGATAATCTGCCACGGAGATTAATGACTCCATCGTTGCCATTACCCTCTCCCTGATCTCTGTCATACTCAAAGGACATTTACAGGCCCCGTTTCCTCTTGGCAGTCAAATGACAACTACCCCTTCAGAATATAGAACAATAAGAACACAACTCAGATGCATTCCTCATTTAATTTGTCTGCGTCGTTCGAAATTATACGTTTCACTTATTCGTTAAAGTACCCATTGGCTAACCATAGTAAGGTATTGTTTTCAAAAACCTTTCCTGCGTGTAATGTTTTGTACCACTTTGTTGTCATTGTGGGAACATAAAGCCTCATTTTTTGTTTTCGTTTTGCTGCTACATGTATATTTATATATAGATTATTGAGAATAGTGCTGTGCATCATTTTTAGGATTCGTACCTCTCTCGAGGAATTATTTTGACTTAAAACCAAAACTAAAAGATTCTACCCCCAATTCTACGCCATCGTGTTTTATGGATTTGTAGTGTAACAGGTAACAATTAGATCATAAGTTTAATCTGTTTTACTATAGGTCAGTGAATCTGTTGGGGTTGTTCCTGGACATCAGTTTGTCGCCAGGATACACTACTGTGTAAAGTTTATCATTGTAATAAGTTAGTCACATTCCCCATTGACATCCATTTGTAGACAACCTGAGGTGACTCAGTATATTATGGTCAGGTTAGTTTCCTGTAGTGTCCAGTTCATGACGTAACAATCAATTCCCACATCCATGTTCACACACAGAAAACATTTAGCCAAACGTCTAGCTATGACTGATTTGCAAATGTGCAAAATTACTACATTATCAGCTATGACTGATTTGCAAATGTGCAAAATTACTACATTATCAGTGTGCATATGGACAAAAGTTCGATTTGAAGTGATGTAATGAAAAACTCGAAAACACACACACACACACCCACTCAACAGAACATCTGTAAAGGCAATAAGGCACAATCTTGAAAAAAATGTGTAAACGTGACTGAATTTAAATCTATACTTGTACATGAGTAAGATGCACCGTGTCTTATCTTACTCTATCTAGTACGGGTGGCCAAAGGTCAAAGTTGGCCAAAGATAAACCTGGCATGCATAATAGCTTATTAATACCTAAAACACCGTCAATGGCATTCTGTGAAAAACCAGATAACGGTTCGATGACACATGATCTTTGCAATATACATTTTAAGGGTATTGGATTTTTTCAGATTGAGATAAGTGATTTTATTGATTTATGGCATATAATCAATGTCAGTTTCTACCACCGTGTCTTCTCTCTTTGTAGGATGCTTTCTTTAATTTTCCTTTGATGATTATCAAGAATTTTATAATTTAATAGCAAGCAAATAGCGATATTACGGGCGGAAAGGTGCTGTTAAAACATAAACAATATGTGTTGAACTGGGTGTAATATAACGCAGAGAGTTCAATGATCTAGCTAGTTCCTTTTCAATTGCCTCCAATTGAGTTACCCTTTGGTAACGGATTCTTGGTTTCACCTTAAATGTTGCTTTCCCTAACCTTAAATACAAATGATAAATCCTTCACACCGGATCGTTTTACTTGTTCCACCCAATGTTGGTGTAGACCACTGACGTTCTCTCCTACTGTGCAGAATCTTTTTCACAAAGTTTGCGGTTGTTCGTGCAAGTGATCATTTGTTTCTTAAAATGGCAGTTAAGGGTGCTGAAGGTTGCGCGGGGTCTGCACCTCAGTTCATACACCTGGCATATTGACGGGGTTCTTTTTTTGGTAGTGATATAGTCTAGTGACGTTAGACCCAAGGTTACTTATTGCAACAAAACCCGGGTGTTATGACTTCTGTGTAAATAGTTACATTGCTGATGCCTTAAGAGTCCTTAGCAATGTCTAGCAATGACAACCACCCCACAGAATACAGAACAATATGCATTCCTCATTCATTTTGTCTGCATCGTTTGAAATCGTGCGTTTCACTTAATTGTCAAAAAAACATTGGCTTAGCATATTTAGGGTTTTGTTTTGGAAAATATCATTGCCCAAAAGAGGTCGAAATGAGTACGGGTCTTTCCAACACTTTTTTGCTGGTAGCCAAAGTGCTGGTGAATATGTATATGACTTAAGTTCAACCGCCTCTTCTTCGGGTAATGTATGGCTTTATATGACTTTTTAAAAAGTAATTCAATGACACTGTATCAAAATATACTTTTCTTTTGACATTGTGTCCAATATTCTTTATATGGTTTAAAATACAATTAAAAAAGCTCAAGTTTCCCTGTACCTTACCATATAAAAATTATGTCATAGATCATAATATTTTTTGGCTATTAGGTCTAGTTACATCTGACCATGCCTTTGGTCTGTAATCAGTGTATTATACCTATCAACACATAAGGCATCGTCAGCCATTACTCTCTCTCTCTCTCTCTCTCTCTCTCTCTCTCTCTCTCTCTGCATCGCCACCCATCCAGATGGCGCCGTTGACACCCAAGTAGGGATGAGTCCTTCTAAGGACAACTTTGTGTCAAAATGACAACCATTCATCACACGGTCTCATATGACCGTCGCTGATGCTTATCCTTTAAAACAATCATAGGTGAGAAACGGGGAACTGGTTTTGCAGTCCTTAATTCCAGGTGTAATTAACATCGACCCTGCGGCTAGCAACAGTCATGGCCTTTTCATAAATGTTTCATTTTGAAATTATCTTGCTAAATTTTACACCATTCTTCTGAAATTCTTAAATTATAGTTTTAATTTAATATAAAGTTTTTTGTGTTCATTTTATTTTAATATTCCATTTCTAATTTTGATGGTTGGGTAATCATGCTCTTCCTTTTAGTACTTTATAGTTTATGGTACCATTAGTTTCTATAAGAAAACCATTATCTGCTATAAAAACTATGTAATGGACACATTATACTTATGTTGGTTTAGATTATTTATCTTGGTTAGAATAGTTTTAAAAGAATGAAACCAAAGAATAAAACCATATAAATATAATGTGATTGTGATTATGGAGCCCTAAGTGAATAAAATAACCAACTGATTACCGTGTCACCTGTCAGTAGCTAAAAGGTAGAAAAAGAAACACCGCGCTGGAGAAAAGAGTTGGAACAATCCGTCCCCCTTTGCTTTAAGAGGATAACAAAGGTTGGCGTCTGGATACTTCATTACAAAGATATATTGCGTTTTTACCATCATTCCAGTAATTGATGGAGGCATTAAACAGCAATTTTAACCCTGAAATAACACGATTCGTGTAACAGCAGGGGTATACGGACGTTAATAGTTCGAATTTTTTTTTAACCTTATGCTGGTTCGCTCCTCCCCTTGAATTCTAAAATTTGGGGTAATTTTATTGTGATTTGTGGACGGTGTTACAATTGTTTAAAAGCACATACTAAATAGAATATTTGTTTTCATTTCAAATTTCTACGTACAATTAAAATTCATAATTTTGCATATGCTGAACATTTCCATAACTGTTTGGTACTTTGGCAGGGCAATAAAATGAAATTTGAAAACTTTTGATATTTTGAAATATTGCGTCAGTTAATATACGCCTTAAAGATAGTGTGGTCGAAAAGACGCCTTAAACTAAATTCAGTTAAGATGTTGGTTTTAGGTGGATACAAGACACTATTTTATATCTGTTTATTTGTTTATTTTGTCATTTATTTATTTCATTTATTTATTCAATTATTTATTCAAGAATTTCTGAGATTATGTTTGATTCATGCGGTCCTCAGGTGAAGTTAAATTACATTATTAACACGTCCCACTTACTATAAAACCTAGGAAAATTGTAAAAAAAATATTGTAATTTTATTTATTTATATTTCTGAAAGGAATCTAGTTTGTATTGCACAATCGATCGTTTTCTCTTGTTGGAATAATGCACCCAGGTTTTTCCACGCGCTGATTTACTCTTCTAACTACAGTGTGTTGTATGTATTATTAGCGTCTTCTTGCTGCAGCTGCTGTCCACAGCCGCCACTGGCAGTGACAGTATATATCCAATTTCATTAATACGCTCTGCTGGACACCTATCCAATACTTAGATATTATGACATTAAGTGTGGAGAAAAGGGGTGAGGGATCAGTACTACTAGGTGCAGGGGCGACCTTCTGGCGGGGTAATAGAACTGACTAGTTACTGAATAGTTTTACCTCAGATATCCTTTGATGTTGACTGCGATGTTTTCCGCATTATCGGTTGTTTGACTATACTATTGAGGAATGAATGTCTAAGTTGCTTATGGCGTGTCCCTAGGTTATATGTACAATTTGTACTAAACAATTTCGCGTCAATGTAACAAGCCTTGTTAATTTTGGAATTTTATCAAAAATAATGTCATGATGACATTAATTACTTTTAACGCTGCCATCATGAATATACAACAATCTGATGTATAGGGATGGATTCTGAGGGCAGTATGCAGGGATTTAACGATCTCTTAAAATAAAACACGACTTTATAAACACAAAATTACTCTCAATTAAGGCAACACGAACAATAACAATCCCCACAACGACCGCTGTAAACTAACCAGCACACATATGTCACAGCTGCGCGTACACAAGTTCGGTATAAAGGTTTGACGCTGTGTATGCATACCGCGTGAAATACCAACTATTTCTATATACGGAACAGTATAAATATACATATGCAAACACATATGTGTTATACTGTGCGTGCAAATTGTACATGTGGACAGAGGGAGAAAATATCTGTCTTACCTGCTCCCAGGTGCATTCTCTTCATCCAAGGGTAGATGATAGGCTGAGGGGGTGGTTGGAGAGTCGTGGCACAGGTTTGAGGCAGTTGAGGCTGACTGGACGTCTGGACGGCGTGTGTGTGAGCCGGGAGAGGACTAAGAGGGGTGGTGGGGTGCGACATCGACGTCCCCATCCCTCCGTTCTGTGCAGCACAGGCATACAGGGCAGCCCCCGGCGAGAAGTTATCTTCTCTGAACCGCTGATGGTCGGGGTGGTGCCACTGTCCATAGCTGGTCACTGCCGGCCGCAGAAATTCCTGCTGGTGATGGCTAATATAGTTCGTCTGCGAGAAGTCCTCCGTTGGAGGAAATTTGGGATCCGCAAACGGCCCAGAGTTCATGAGGAAAGCACTCATCGCTATAAATTTTCACTGAATGCTCTGAGAACTATTTTCCTCGTCACTTGTCTATAGCACGACTCCATATAGCAACCATGCGTCTCATTTACATACCACGTGACAAGTCGTGCCCAATCAGGTCGCCGACTTTTGACCTTTCGCTATACATCATAATTGGTCGTGTCGACAGCCCCTGTGCATGCGAAACTTTATTAAACAAAAGATGACCAAATAATTGACAATTAAGCAAGCGGTTTGGTACACCTGGAAAAAGTAGGCGTGTCTCCTTCATTTTTCCCTGTTTAAGGAGGATTTAGGTTAACCGCCTGTCTGTTTAGAAGAGGCCAAGACATAGGCCATAAATATCACCTAATAATGGAGGACATAAGTGTCGTTTAAATTACGATGATCCTTAGGGCAAGCCATGGGTACACCTTTCTCGTGTCAGCGTGCCTTTATAGTTGGTGGAAATTACGCTGTGTGTTTTGCAGTGGAGTTAAAGGCATCAGTTTCAAACAGAATTCATTTTAGAAGCGGTGTAATTTTTTGTTATAGATGCTAGAGGGAATTTACACTGAATCATGATACTGAACTTTGCAAACTTTGTTTAAAAATAGTTTAAATTTTTGTACGGAATCCGGAATTCTGTATACATAATACAGTCTTTTTGTAACTTGCTGTACTTTTATGATTTTCTTCAGTGTTTACAAAATATTGACTTTGTTATTCATAAATCTCTACGTAAAATTTAACTTACATTAATCAAAATTCATATTTACATTTATATATTTATTGAGATAAACAGGCAGTAATATTCAACACCCCAGTGAAACACATGTAGCCGCATACCCCTGTTGTGTTAGAATGAGTAAAATATTAAATTCATGTTTTGAAAGCATGCATAATAGGTGGGTATCAATTTACACTAAGAACTGATTCCCTTTGGTTGTACCTTAGATATTGTTCATATTATTTTTGTGAGTTTCATATGGATTGATTTTATTCGTTTGGTATTATTTTGGGCGTGCCTTTGTGTGTGTTTGTACGTGTGTGTATGTTTGTTTATGTGTGTGTGCGCGTGTCCGACACACAACTGTTTATTATTGTTGTATTTACTATAAAACGTACGAATATGATGTATAATTTCCATAATTTTCATGTGATCCGATACATATAAACGTTTATATAGTGCATATGTACATACGCATTGTCATATATCATTTAATTGTTGAACTCCTTGATGCAATCTAATTCGCAAACATGAAAAAAATCTACAAAATATTTACAATTTACTTTGCTACGAATCAGTTTCATTCCCCATTTCATTCTCACGAATTCGTTTCTTCAATTTCATGTCCTCAAATATTATTTATTTCATCCCTGGCCAGATATGCCGCTCAAATTACCATTGCGCCTGGCTGTCTATCCTGACCTTTTAACTCCTAAGTGTCCACAGTTCTAGACTGTTGCCTTCTATGTCATTTCACAATAAACAATGCCCATGCTTAGTGTCATAATCACCGCTGATGGCCCATCGAGGGCTTATTTCTTCCATTAATCAAAATTGCCCAGTCATTTAAATTTCTATCTCCCACTGTAATCTTCGTATGAATTTTATAAAGTGTCGTTGGGGTTAATAATGAGGAAGACAGTTGAAGTGGGGGTGAGCATCGCCCTGCTATCTGATGAACATTTTTAACTTCTTTTTTATTTGTAAACGAGATCAAGGCATTTAAGATTATATCAGATCAGATATAGCTATTGTCTTTTTTTTCGAAATGCAGTAAAAAGGAAAATTGTTATCTATTAAGTTGTAATCATTGATGTTATGATTTATACATAAGTATCACACGGTCGGTAATAATGTGATAAAAATGGCCAAATTTATCTTGTCTTAGTGATCATTGGCTAAGTAATCTGCCATCATGTGAGCCCTTGATAATAACTAAATTTAATATTTCATGGCTAACCGCATTTTGCGTTCCGAGCGCCTATTTTTCGTTATTTTGAAAAATAAATTTTCCTCTGTGCCCAATAAATTCCATTCAGGTAAAGCTCGGCTTACCTTCACACAGAACCCTTATTGCCTTCCTTATTTAACAATTAAATATTATATATATGTATTTTTTTTCATAAGCCAGTATTTGTGTTTTTACGTACGTGTATCAGCAGATGTAACCATACTATTTAAACTGAAAGGAAAAAAGTTGTATTCCTTTCATCCTAATAAATCCCTTTTAATTTGTACAATATTTAACATATATATGTTTATACTTTTTTTTGCAAAATACAGTAGACGGTTTCAAACAAACCCCATCAAAAACAATCTATATCAAATATGCAGGAAAATGCCATAGCTCTCTCCCAGCAGCAAAATACAAGCCAATTTCTTTTTTCTGACAATGCAGGCATGACATAGCTCCACATCCAAACAAACACGGGCGTCCCTCTTTTGCAACATCGGGATCCTTGTAAGTAATTTATCTTTTTCACTTCTGTTAATGCAATCCCTAAATCACAATTCCACCATAAAGATGTGATGCAATCAGCTGACCGGATTAAATACAGCGATGATGAATGAAAACCTTGACCTTGGTGACTAGAATATCACGGTTGATAATAATAAAGAGTGTCGCTCAGGAATGCGCATCGTATCGGAGATAATTAAAACGCATGACCTTGGCGAAAGCATGCGGTTTACATCGTGCAATACAAAATTTCAGCAATTAAAATGCCCGGTTTATAATATTCTATTTAACTGTAAAGATACTCGTTCATTTATGCGACTTTGTTTTCATCTTTCTTGGGAAAACAAAAAATATTTGCATTATTTCCTCTTTTAATCCTAAACAAAAGTGTCCTTTTTTCTCCTTTATTTTATGGACATCAGGGATATAATGAAAAAATCCAAGAACACTATTATAATGTTTAAGTAATAATAAAACGACAATTTATTTCATAAAACATGGACAAAGTATGACCAGATCCAATGTTAAAATTATTATTATTTATTATCCGTAGTCTTACGCATCTAGTCAGTAAAAAATCATGGAATATTTTTTTATCTCATGCATAATTAAAATCAATTTGATATATTTCATCTATTTATCTATGAACTGGGAATTTCATATATAACTTATTACATGTTCGTCAAATGAAAAGCCTGAGTTAATATCTGGAGACTTTGGAAATATGATACTTGTATTTGTGACAATAAAAAGACGGTGAAATGTCAGGGTTAACTGACGATAAATTGTGTGCTATGATAATTTAAATCTTTATCATGACGACGATTTGAAATATTACAGTTGATTCTGTGTCATATGTTAAGGTAACAAAACAAGACAAAACTTTTAGATTTTTTAGTCGGGTTTTAAGTATGAACCATGGCGTTTTCCTGTGCTTTATGACCCTGTTCTTTTCAAAATATGAGCAGTAGTCGTTCATCACAAATAAATGGTTTAATAATGACGCATCAATACAAAAAATACATGAAAACATCATTCAAGTCTCCAGAGGATAAAGATAGCTTTAAAACTGTCCAAAACTAATCTGCATAGCACGATAAGCCTATTTCTTCAACAAGTGAATGATGGAGAGAAGCAGTTCGCAGTCCCTTGGCTGCGGAGTTGGTTTCTCCCCGGAATTTCACCAGATCAGAGAAGGTATAACTAAGTGAATTGTGTAATCAAGCAGGACATCGGGGAGTCAAATTATTCACATTGTTGAAGGCGCCATTATTCATTCCTTTGGCATTTTGCGGGTGCACACCAATCACGCAAGGCTCTCTACGAGATCCTAAATTTCGTGAATATTGCTGTTGAAAGTGTGGTGTGGAAAGGAAAGAAACAAGTCCTCATCTTCTTTTATTCAAATAAATCGCAGGCATTAGAAACTAGCTTTATTAATCTTTCGTTAGCTTGTATTTCCTCATGAGGATTCGCTTGCATATTTATGAAGACAACGCCAACGAAAAGCACGAAGAGAAACGAACTAAATAAAAAGAAATGTTTCCTAAATACGGTGCATAATTTCCGGTATTCTGTAAGTTAACAAATAAGTAAAAAAAAATCACCAATAAACCTCTATATTGAGAACTTACAAGAGTGGGAAATTCTGCGCCTGGGTGCTCTTGATTTCCAAGTGAATGATATGTGGCCATGGACATCAAAGAGCCCCGCCGATCTTCGTGATAAGTAAAATATTCTGATCAAAGGAGAAGTATGGGAATGCCGAAAGAGACGTTTCAGTGGGCGTGTAAAAACATGAGATGTGTGTGGCAATGGTGGCTATCTCTTTCTACTTAGTGGCTATTCGTTGGTGATTATTTGGACTGTTGAATGGGTTCATCATTACGAAGTGATGAACGGCCATATTCAAAAACAAATTGGACGAAATGTGTGTGTGTGTGTGTGTGTGTGTGTGTGCCTTTTCAGTTTCCCACTTCAAACCATTTCAACGATTTTTAACTTAACATTCATGCCTTGCCCGAAATATTCATTACGTCGCTTCCACTGGTATACTAAATGCACACCCTTTTCGTAAGCCCAACTTGATATGTCTATATTATTTTCCAGTGAGTAAGAGTATTTTGATTTGATAAAGATATATCAATGATAACTCACTTTATCAAAATATACCACTAAAACATTCACAAAATATGAAATTCTACTCAGCTGCAAATTGTTTTCTAGGCCTGTACTATATTGAAAAATCGTTCATCAAAACATGCAAAACTCAGTGTTGTTTTTACTTTTTTTTCTTTTACACCTAAACAAATAAATATAAAACGTCACAAACGTTTTTTGTCCTCAAAACATACAATACATATCTTTATTCTCCTCATGTTTAGCCTTTTATTTTTTATGATTTATCAGCTCGGGCAAGCCGCCTGTCATGTATGGGGAATAGAAGCACCAAAATAACATCATTAATAAGACATTATCGGTGGCCAAAATAGGACATTTTCCAGTGAAATGAGTCCTGCATACTCCCCGTGCGCACAGCATTGACTGCAATGATTAATAGGACATGCCGTGTGCATTCTTGATATACTTCAGTATTCGCCTGGTAAACTGAAATGTACAGAATAACTTTGGATTTTT